TTCTTGAATGTGAGATCGCATTCTCGACAACATTCCAGCGCCGTCCGTGCACGTATACACTACTCTGAAGTAGGTACGAGGAGCCGTCACCGAGGGTTTCAAGAACAGCGTCTAAGCCTCTAAAGGGGTCGAATTCTCCTCATGGCTCGTGGAATTCTGGTGGGCCTGGCGCTTTCGCTCCAGCTTCTTGCTGGCAATGCTAGCGGCGCACCGCTGACAGAATGGCAAAAACAGGCCTTCAGTGAGGTGGAGAAGAGTGCAGCCGAGCAGTCGAAAGCCGCAGAGCCCGAGCTTTTAGCTTTCTTCGATTCAAAAGACTTCCGTGCGAACCTTTCCTCCTGCTGCCCATCCGTAGCAAAGCTTCCAGCCGCAGAGCTATTGGACAGACTCTCCAAGCAGTTCCAGGTGGCCGAACTGGCATCCGGTTTCCCTGCAGATCAAGATCCTACCAAGATGTTTCCGGATTCTGCAGGAATGTCTATCGGCTTTGGCATGAACGGCACCTTCTTCTTGAACGACTGGCAAGCCATTTTGCTACACTCCACGGACCCAGCGGAAGTATGGCATGGTTTTGAAGCCACATACGTGGCTTTTCGTGTCAACTCCTCCGGAAAAACCGTGACCGTCGAGTGGTGGTTTGGCGGATGTTCCGGCAACAAGACTCAACCCATCGAGATGCTGCTATCTACGTGCTACAAGCAGCCCTATACGGCGGGCATGAGCATGATCGTGCGCTACGACTATGACAATGCGTCAGGTAATGTGAATTCTACCATGTGGATGGCTGAGAACAGCTCTGGAGTCTCCGGCGGCTGGAAGAGGCCATCTCATAGTAGCTGAATTATAGCATGCTTTGCGTACACTTTGGGCGAACATTTATGGCAACCTACAGAACGGAAAGTTTAAGCATGTTTTAGCTTTTCTCTGTACTATCCCTGCAATGCGGGCTTGTCATAGTTTTGTGGGAGGCGAAAAGTTTTAAGCGCTTTTGGGGCTTGTGAACTCGGCAACTAAGATCTCTGGCGACCAACAGCGAACCAACGAAAGTCGATTGTCCGCCACAAGAGGCCGTGTTTAACACAGAGGTGGGTGGTTGTCCAAACTAGGATCGCAAGGCCATTCTGGATGCCCTTGTTAGGCTCAGGGTTTGGGGTTCCGGGCTTGGGGTTTTTGGGTTTGTTAGCCAAGTTGGGGTCACTCTTTTGGGTTTCCAAACTATGGGGCATCGTATTAAGAGTGGAATTATATTGGGCTCCTTGCCCAGGTGTATGTGGCAGATGGCCACTGCCACACTTACACCATGCAGAACAACTCTGAGCAATTCGGGGCCCAAGATCATGCAGAGACTTTCGTGTATGGCATGAAGCCATTTCAGGTCCGTGGGGCACCATCAACCCTCATGGAAGCTGGCGAGCGTCCGGTCTATTCCATGGTCAACTTGAACTTGATTGACATGGGAAGTCCCATCTATGGTGACGTCTCTGCCGTATTTGCGCAGAAGTACATCTTGAACAGCACCTTACTTCGCCAATGGGAGAACTGTAAACTTGTTTGTGTCCTTTCTTCGGTCTGTGTTGTGAAGGTTCAGCTTTTTTGGTATGGTTGTTGAGAAAAGAGAGGCACATTGCTATCTCCAACCGACACTGGCTTGTATGAGATGGGCTGCCTTGACAAGACGGTCGTCCCCGTGGAAGTTGCCTACAACTGCAGTGCCCTCACAGGCTTCAAGCAGCTAAATGTCGGGGAACAGCCCTAAACCCTAAGCCCTAGCGAGGCAAAATGCCTTACTTCAGCCCGACCCGTGGCCCAGAAGACCTACCCTTTTTCAGGAGCTACACAAAGAGACCATAACCAGGAACCCCGAAAAGGGTAGGTCTTTTCGGCTACAGGTACACCCTAAACCCAGAAAGCCCTATAAGAGGCTTCCGGCAGCTGGGTACACTCCAGCACAACAAGCACCTTTGGTTGGTCAACAAGAACTTCTGGGGTCGCCTCGGTCTCCTATATAAGGCCTTCGAGAGGATGGAGGCGCTGGTACTACAAAAGCCTGAGGGTTTAGTGTTTAGGGGTTTAGGGTTTATAGGGTTTAGAGTTTAGGGTTTAATTTAGTTGAGGAATTTTCCAGATCTTTCCGCTGGGCTCCTGTGTTCTGAAGTATAGCACACTATGCACCAAACAGCCCATTTAAGGCCCCTATGTCAGCTAGTTGGCAAAATGTGAATCTGAAACCTGTTGAGATAAGAAGAAGCCTCCTCACGACTGAGAGTTTGAACGTTTTGGCGCCTATGAACTCGGCAACGAAGAGGCTCAAACCCCTAAGCCCTAAATCCTACATCTCTAAACCTCAAACACCCAAAAATCCTTAAATCCCGAAGTCCCCAAATCCCTAAACCCCTAATTCCCCTCAATCCCTCTAAATCCCCAAACCCCTGAACCCCCAAGCCCGAAAAAAAAACCCTATAAATCCTAAACCCTAACCCTAAATCCGGAAAAGAGCCCTCAAGAATAAAACAAAGCTAAATCCCCACACCCCCGCGAGGCTCCCTGGGGTCATCATGGCGTGGTAACCGGCTCCTTCCTGAACTACTTCGAAGGCGGTCTCCTTGGTCACTAGGTTGTTCTACGCGGGTTTAGGGCATTAGGGGTTTAGGGGTTTAGAGGTTCAGAGGTTTAGAGGGAGTTAAGAGGTTTAGAGTTTAGGGATATGTGCTCGTTACTTTCTGTTTCCGGGCTCCTATGCCGCAATTGACCTGGGCTTGTTTAGAAGGAGCGACTTGTTCTCCGTGGGTTACTGAACAGCCTAGGTCAATTGCAGTACCCGGCGGCAATTCGCTTTCTCATCGGCGCTTTTCCAGCCCTCTTCGGCACCGACACTTTGCAGTAGAGTGGCTTTGGGGGTTTAGTGTTTTAGAGCGTGGAGCCTTTTAGGTTTAGGGTTGCGGTCAAGATGATAACAATACCAAAAGCTTAGCCTTCATTTTCCCTGATAACCTGAGTGGACAAGCAAGGACATGGGAGTGAAGTTGCAAAATTGGGCAAGGAGCCGTGGTTGGGTCTTAATTTGGGCGCTTGGCCCGAATGACAAGGTGGTTCCCAAACCAACTTCCGACTTCAACTTCGCGCTGATGGAAGGGCACGCGTCTTTCGCAGTCAACAAGCGCATGATTGATCCTCTGGTCCTGTCGGAGACGACAGCGGCGGCAAGCTTGCCACTGGGCTCCGATGTAACCGACAACTTCAAGCAGATGTGGGCCGAGGTGTCCAGCCTGCGGAACACAACGAACCTGACCAACGTGACCATGGCGCAGAAGTGGAAAGACACTGCCACGCTTCTTCCACAGCTTCCTGTTCGTCCTCTAATGGGAGGCGACTGCGAGGTGCAGCTAGTGAACGCCGAATGCGTTGGAATGACTATGCAGGGAAGCTGCGTGTGCTATGCCAGCACGGAGGTCGTCAGCCTTGAAGAAGTTGTTGTGGTGTGAGTTCCGGCGCTGGTAGTCAATGGCGTCACATCGGTCAGAAGTCTGATTTCAGTTAAATGAAAACAGCATGTGGGAGCCTGACAATGTGCACAGTGACGCTGTTGGAGCGCAAATCGAGATACCCGAGCACCTTTTGTGATTAGCTGCATGTGGGGATGTGCTAGTATGGGTTAGTTGATGGTTCTATGGGATATGCTGCACATGCTGCTTTTGGCGACAGGTGCTGAACATGTGTAGTTGCAGCGAGATGCGCAGAATTAAAGGTCTGTTTTAGCTGCTTACTTGCGGAATCCCTAAACCCTAAACTCTAAACCCTAAACCCTGAACCGTCACGTGCGGCGCATCTCGCCCGGCGGTTGTACCGGTCGAGACGAGCTCTTTGTGCGTTGGTTGTTTGGGATATAGAAGTATGAGTCATCAGTAATACTAGCTCTCCGAGCCACTGATAGAATTCTAGCAAAGTATGCCGCAATACCCTATTCGGCCCCTATGTTGGGGCAATGGCCTCTTCTTGTGAGGTTGCACAGGGGTTGCAGCTCGTGAGACTTCTTGGTGCTTGCGTCCCGAGTGCCTGGCCGAGATATACACTACTGGAGGCCTGACAGACTAGAAATAACTTTCCCTCAGACTCGCCCCTAAAAAAGCCTGACAAAAATAGACCCCATGTAATTGCACCATTTCGACACGCCCTGCATACCCCAAACCCTGATTCTGATCACCACGGCCCCTACATGAATTCTCAGTTCGGCAGGACTCGCGATTCAATTTTCTGCCAAACTTGGCACTCGACCGCGTCTCTCAAGCAGGTAGAAAAAGAGCCGGCAAAACAGCCTAGACGCCCCAAGGCCCAAATTCTATGCTAAACCCCCAACTAACCCTCTCCAAACAACCTTATCAGCCCCCCAGCTTTCGATAGCCCGAATATAGGGGCGTAAATAATTACCAATAGTATTATTTCAATTTTGGGGGTTCCTTATTGAAAGTATAGAAGAGTATATTATGCCCAAAAACTGTATTCTTATTGTTAAGGCCCCTATATTAAACCATTTCAGCCAACAAGAATGACACCGTAAACCCTGAACCTCCTAGGCACTAAACCCGTCCCAAACCCTTCAATCCAAACCGCGTTAGCCCTAAATCTGGTTCCTGAAGCGCGAAACCCGAAGAGCTACTCAGCACCGAATCCCAAATCCCCAAACCCACAAGCGCCCCAAGCCCTTTCCCCTTCGAAAGAGGATCCTCCTCAAGCCCCAAAGCTCGAGGCTAAATTCTCTGAGCACAGAAACCCGACAGGAGCCCTCATGTAAGGGACCCCTTTTTTCAGAGGGTCCATCTATACTACCATTATGGAGTTAGGTCCCAAAGGACCATACTTGTTATGGTTTTGGGGACTTAATTCCATAAGTCCCAAAACCCTCAACCCAAAACCTCGAACCATATGAACCTCGCCTGGCTTGTCCGAGCGTAAACCCTGAACCCTAAATCCAACCTTCTTGGTTTGCAATCTCCAAAACTGAGGCGTAGCTCGAATTTCATGGGCTGCGGGAGCTGCCTCAGCTTCCACAAAGGCTCCACATGGGACTGTTGGGTTCCTGGTAGGAGGGTCCCATAAGAGTTCCATTAAGACTTTATGGGTTCCTTTGAGGCCTTTATGTGGAGTTTAGGGTTTAGTGTTTAGGGTTTGAGGTTTGTGTAGCAGGTTTTTCTTGTGCCGGAAGCTCTTTTTGTGTTTAAGGGTTTCTGTCAGGGTTTAGGAATATTCATTAGTAGCGCTAGCCTGTAGTCTCAAGATAATTCACTCTGCTACAACAGACCACGGATCTAAGGCCCTACTCTCATCGTTCAGGCCTGTGTGTGCTCTAGCTGTCTGTGGGCCCGTTTGGGGCTAGAGTTCTTGGGTCGTTTGGGACTAGGTTTTTAGGGTACACTTTAGTGCTCTTCGGAATTATTTTGTGTTCTTGTTGTAAGAAAAATTCCAAGAGATCGCGAAAAACGCTGTTTTTGATATGGTTCTAAGGGCGCTTAAGTACAGAACCTACCTTTTCCTGGAAGGTTCTACATAAACCCTTACAACATGCAAGATACCAAATGGTCGAGGTTCAACATATAAACCTTAACAGTCAAGAATACTATTCTCCTGAGGGGGTTTTATTTTTTATCAATTACAACCATAGTCTTTGTCCCAAAAACCCCGTTCTAATCTTTTTGGCACCTAGTTTGGTCGAGCTACCCATAGGCTCCTAAGTAGTTCCTTTGTGTGGTTTATATTTAGAATCCAATAAGGTAATCCCAAAAAGGAACTACTTTGGGGCCTATGGGTAGAGTAGCCAAGGCACCTTGGAACAACAAAGTATATCGCCCAAAAAGTCGGTCCAGTTTCCTGGGTTTTCAAGGTACCTTGGTTACTCGAGGTATCTGCGAAAAGGCGATACATAAGGGCCTTAATATGTAGTGTCGGCCCTTACTTCAGGGTTAGCGTTTCACCCAGGCTCTTCGGGCGTTTGAACCGCTTTGCGGAACGGGGTTTCATGTTACTTAAGGTCTGAAGGGGCTTAGTAAGTTCGGTTACAAGTAACAAGTTAAGTTAAGGCAGGTCATGATCAGGATAGCTCCACTTAGGGGACGTAGTCTCCCATGTCTACTATACTTACTAAGTCCCCTGAGCCCTTAGGCCTTAAGCAGTGCAGCGGAAGGGGCATGACAGACGTCTTCAGGATTTCTTGGTATTACAGCTGCCTGCATTCTGGCTCTCTCCACGCCTGCAACCGCCGAGACCTGCGGCTAGGCTGAAAGTTGAGGGATGTTTGGGCTGTGAGGGGCTGTCAGTTCAGGATGGTAGTTCATTTCAAGATTAGTAGCCTTGTTCCGAGGCGCGCCCTGTGCTGTAAAATAACCTTCAGGTCGTGACATCAGCCAAGAAGCAGGGGATGGCAGCCTAGGGATTTCCTGCTCGAGGCATGGGAAGCCAGACGATAAAGGCAGCAAATGCGGTTCTAAAGGGGATTGGAGGTAGGGATTTTTGACCACCGGACCCTTGAGGCACGATGGTGGCGGGTGTCTGGTAGTACTGGTAGTCGTGGTCGGAGTAGTAGTAGTAGTAGTAGTAGTAGTCGTCGTGGTGGTGGTGGTAGTAGTAGTAGGAGGAGGAGGAGTCTTGGCAGTGGTAGCATGAGAGAATAGAATGGTTTTCGTATATTTAGGGGAGTTTTTGTATGTAGAGTTCTAGCTCCAATTAGGATAACCCGAGCCCTAAATCCTAACCCTAAACCGCCCCGGTAAGGCTGTTTCCAAATCCAAGCATCGACGACTTACTACTCTGACGAATTTCATGCCACAGATCCGGTCGGAAGGTTTTAGGACCCAGGAACCCGAAGCTCTAAACCCTAAACCCTAAGACCCTAAAGCCCTAAACCCCCAAAAAAGGTTCCTAAACCCTAAACCCCCAAATAAAAGGTTCCTGGACTCTATAAACTTCAGGGTGTTCAGGCCTTGAAGTCCTAAAGCCTCCGGCCGTAAAGCCCTCAAACACTGAACACCCCCTGGCCTCTTCCTTAAGGACGAAATGAACCCTAAAAGGTTTTAGGGTTCAGAAACCATATAGGGATTCATAGTATAAGGGTAAAGGGCCCTACTTCTAAGGGTCATTTCGTCCTTAAGGTTTAGGATTTACAGATCCGTGCCTTAAAGTGTGAAGCGCCGTGGCGCTTAGATTAGAGCTGTCGGGGTTCGAGCCGTGATTGAGTTTCCTGGACATGCATCTGGTCCAGGACGACATACAGGCATACTCTCCACAACTGCCCACAATCTACCACTGTGAATGAGTATAGTGTGTGTGTGTGCGTGTGGGGTGCTAGCGAGTTCCCAGCTTCAACGAAAAAAGGTTTAGGGATGTTTAGGGTTCAGGGAAACCGTCCAGTTCAGTCCTTTCTTTCATCTCAACCTGCCACTTGCGGCCTCTGCGTTCATGCCGCAAGAAAAAAGTTCTCGGCTGTCCCTTACTACCACCATGACCTGCTTATAGAAAGAATAGAGGCTCTACAGAGAAGTATGCGGTAGTAGTTCAAGGTCGACATGTGGCACATGTGGGGTTTCGCGTTGATGAGGGCCGTATAGAGGTCTAAGTTCAGAGAGCAGCACAGCAGCGAAACAAACTTAGGATGGAAGGAAGCGTTCGAGTTCGGGTTAATTAGGGTTAAGGGCCGCAAACCAGGTGAAGCTCTACCTGGAACTGCACCGATTTTGCTCCAGTGGTCTCTGCGCACTAGCACGGAGCAGAACTTCACGCTGAATGCCACGGAGCTACGTTGGGGTTCGCAGCACCGCTTCCTTGTCCGTCAAAGTCCAATGTCGCGTAGAAACACACTTCAACCATCTTCAACCCGAGACACGAAAAGAACAGTAGTAGTAGTAGCCGTCGTCGTCATAATAACACAATTGTTATTATTGTTATTATTATTATTACTATTATTATTATATTATTATTATTCTATTATTGTTATTATTATTATCTTTATTATAATAATTATTATTACTATATTATTATACTATTGTTGTTGTTAAACGCCCAAAGCGATGGGTCATGATGCTCTTGTAGCGAGGCATCAAGGATGCTTTGGTTAAACGCTGATAAAGCTCATGAAGCCCGAAAACCACAGATTCAAAAGCCCATATGGCAGAAAGAAAACGGAAATCTAAGCAACTCTATAAAACCCTGCCGACAACCATATAAACAAAACCCTAGCTGCCACCATGCAGGACAAGCCGGCCAACAATGCCGCACGAGCCAAGCAGGCTATGCCGAGATCGAATATGATAGAAACTGGGTTTAATTAGCATAACCATTCATTCATATGCCTTGGAGAAAACTAGAGAATCGTATACCCCAAACCCCTTTCTTTATTTTTTCTAATGAGTATTCGGGCCACGATATCAAGGCTTACGAAGGTTTCGCAAGGTTTGAGAGGTTTTGTAGGGGTGCTTAGCTCCTCGATAGGGCTTTGCACGGGTTCTGCAGCGGTAAAGAGACTTAGAGGGTCTTTGGGAATCAAGATCATGCTCGAAGTTGCCTCTCAGGGTCTACCCATAGGCTCCATTGTAGTTTCTTTCGCGGATTACCTTTAGGACCGCAAGACGGAACCACAATGGAGCCTATGGGCAGGCATTAAAAATTTATGGGTGTGATGTTCTGGGTTCTGTTGAAGATCGCGACAGGGAAGAAAGACGAGCATCTAACAAGAATCCAGGCTCGTCCGCTCGAAAACCCGATTTCTTGGACCGTCGTAGAACATAGCCTCTAAACCCTAAACCCCCCCATGCCCTGGATTACAAGTTTACGCAAGCTCTTTCATTGGAAAACGGGAGTCCGAGTTAGGAGTAAAGGGAGCTGATCCATCCGACAGATGGGCTGCTGTTCGGTCCCGAATATGGCGGATATCTGTCAGTTCGGAGTTGGGAGGGCCCGACTCAAAGAATCGATAGTGGTATTCCTAAGGCTCCGTCAATACATTTGGCAGTGTTAAAACCCTTGATGCCTTACGTACTTGCCCATCCAGCGAACAAGCCGTTCAAGGAAGTTTAGGGTTTTAGCTTTCCGGTTGGAGCTTTGTGGGTAGTTTTCTAATTTAGGGTCCCCTTTTAGGTCCCCAATATAGTGTACGGCACCCCTATAGAAGGACCCTAAAGGGGAGCCCAAGTTTAGAGAACTACCCTTTGTGTTCAGGTTTTACGGCTTAAAGTTTCCGCAGCGTGGTGCTTCACAGCTGGCCAAACCTGGCCCTGAATCCCCAGAACAAGCAAGTAGCATGGGGTTTTGGGGGGTATAGGGTTTAGGCTTTAGGGGTACAGGGTTTAGGGGTTTAGGGGGTTAGGGTTTAGGGGTTTAGGGTTTAGGGGTTTAGAGGGATCTGGCCGGGCGAGCTCAGTTCAAGCCTGTGGAAAAGGGGTTTAGTGTTTAGGGTAGAACATCTCCATCCAAGGCCGTCGACTGGGAGCAAACGATTGCCGGGCTGCAGCGCGGCAGAGGGCAGGTCGTGGACGAGGACATCTGGGACTTTGAATGAGGCCCCTGTAGTCGCACATGATAGTTGTTGAAAAAGCATGTCCTCAACTAGCAACCCTTTTTTGCTCAGGAGCTCCTCATAAGGAAACTAGGGACCGCTAGAACAAACTGCGAGCCCAGATACAGTGCCTCAGCTCCTGAAGATACCGAACTGCAACCCCTCACCCCTCTCGCCAAATATAGGTCTTCCGCCGGCACCAAAACCTCAGCAGAGTGGTGGCCCAGACTTGCCACTGACCAGATCCTGACTAGTGTGGGCAGTGCAACAATAGTTGGGTTTAGGTCCCGAAACCTTAAACTTAACCGTGAGACCTTCCAAAACGGGCAGGCAGAGAGAGGGAGATTCGCAAAGATGCTACCTAGACCCTTAAACGTAGTACCTTTTTTTGGTTACCTTAGTTTCTTATTATAGGATCCTAACCATGAAATAGGTCATCCAATAAGAGGTACTACATTTAAGGGTCTAGGTATAGTGTCCCATGGTTGCCCAAGCGGGCAGAGGATCCATCCCTGACAGCTGCCGCTGTAGCAAGCTTGGTCACCAACCTCGTGGTGTGCCTTGCCTCTTGTCTGATATGGTTTATAACTATAGTTACCTTACTTATAACCCCACTTATAACTACCCATGAACCTCCAAGTACCCTGAACCCCAAACCCGAAACCCTTTTTCAGAAGGCGCTCCTAAAGCAAGGCCTTCTCTGTTCCTCGACTGGTTTTGCCGAACCCGCTAGTGACGGGGCTCTTTTGCGATGATGACGGCGGAAGATAGATAGGAAGAAATCAAGGGGGCTAGGACATCGAAGAACATGATCTTGGCATTCCTCTGACACTTAAGCCACCCCTCCTTGGTCATGTCCTTCCTTCAAAAGACATGTCACACAGCCCCCCAAAAGGCACAATGTCTTTATACTCCTCCTTCCTTCAATTGGGTAGTTTTCTAAACTAGGGCCCCGTTTTAGGTCCCCAACAGAGTTTGGCACCCTTATAACAAAAGGACCCCCAAAAGGGACCCTTATGGTACCCTTATAGAAACCCTATAGAAACCCTTATAGATCCCTTTAAGGACCCCGAAGGACCCCAAAAGGGACCCCATTTAGAGAACTACCCAACCCTAAACCCTAAACCCCAAACCCCAAACCCTAAACCCTTAAATGCATGTCTCAACATATTCGGATTGTACCCTGCAATGCGGGCTCGTCCTAGCAAGGTGGGAGGCAAAAAAACCCTTAAACCCTTAAACCCTAAACCCCAAACCCTAAACCCTAAACCCTAAACTGACTCATCTCCGAGGTCTGCTTGGGCCTCTTCAGCCTTCTCCGACAGCGCTACCCCCTCGCCGCCCGGTCAACAGAGGGTTTAGGGTTTAGGGTTTTAGGGTTTTAGGGTTTAGGGTTTAGGGTTTAGGGTTTTAGGGTTTTAGGGTTTAGGCTTTAGGCTTTAGGCTTTAGGGTTGTAGNNGGGTTTAGGGTCTTAGGGTTTTAGGGGTTTTAGGGTTTAGGGTTCGCCGCCCGGTCAACAGAGGGCCCGAACAGGTCCTGAGGAGCTGAATTGCTACACTTTAAACTTTTTGGGATTATATGGTGTACACTTTTTAAACCCTAAACCTCATCTTAGGAGCTGAATTACTACACTCTAAACTTTTTGGGATACTATGATCCCTTCTAGAACTGAAAGTGTACCTAAGGCGTCACCGAGCGAGCCCAACTCCCCTTTTGTACAGGGATATAGGTGGTTCTATACATCAGAGAGTTTCCGAAGATAGGGGGTGCCTTAGCCGTATTTTGGGGGGTTCTTATAATAAGGATCCCATTATTTAGGGTACTATATTGGGGCCCCCTATTTTCGGCAACCCCCATTAGGGTCCCGTTCTGCAGGAACCCCAACAGAAGGCGGCTTTCATTTAAAGTTGACCCCTCAAAGGACCCTACTTCAGAGAAGTGCCCATTTACGTTCTGCGAGCTTTTGGCCTTGTAGTTTAATTGTCTGTGGTTGACTGTAGTTCTTCCACTGTAGAGGTCAGAAGGAGTTTGTTCTGAGTGTGCTTTTGGATTGGTAGATGTCCTTGCTCAACCATGTTCCTTCAGTCTTCCAGGACTTACGCTTCATGATTTAAGATATATGTTCCTTGAACAAGGAATATTCATGAAAATTGTACAGGGCTCAAGAGACATGAGGTAAGCTATCAATAGATATTCTTCGTGCCATAGAAAGAGCAATGTTCTTGAATGGAGAATGCTGCTTGATCAATGCAGCGCCCTTGTGAACCCTCTGTGGATGAGAAGATGCAAGGATCAAGGCTGCTTTTCAAGGTCAAAACAGCATTTGGACACGGTTCATTGGTTTAGATTTTCAGGGCGTTTGCCGAGTTTTGCTTGGCCCGTGCTCTTGCGAGAGAATGAAAGCTCTTCATTCAGCTTCACACTGCATGTTCAGCATAACAATAGGATACCAACCAAAAGCTCAAAAACCTGAGCCATAAACCTAAACACAATAGCATCCCAACCCAAAGCCGTGCGCATGAAGCTCACATCCAGGAGCTGCACTGCCAAAGCCATCACCCCGAAGCAGTGGAAACCTTAAGCCCTAAAGCCCAAACCCTACGCTTTCCGTAAATCCTAAAAACCCGGAAACCCTGAAAACCTAAGGGTTGGAAAACCCTAAACCCTAAACCCTAAACCCTGAACCCTAAGCCCTAAACCCTAAGCCCTAAACCCTAAACCCTAAGCCCTAAGCCCTAAACCCTAAGCCTAAACCCGAAACCCTGAAAACCTAAGGGTTGGAAGCTTAGAGGTCTATGCTGGCAATGCCGTGGATGGGGCGGTTGCCTTGCCAGGCCTCTCGAGTCTTCTTTTGGGCTTTTGGGTTTCCGAGTTTGGGATTTAGGGTTTAGGTTTAGGGTTTAGGGTTTAGGGTTTAGGGGTTTAGGGTTGAGGTTTTGGGGTTTAGGACCCTTTTGGGCTCTTGGGGGGAACAGGGTGTAGGGTCTTGGGCTGGTTTGGGCCTTCTTGGGATTAGGGTTTCCGGTTTACAGTTCAGATCTGTTTAACCCTCAACCCTAAACCCCTAAACCCCTAAAGCCCTAAAGCCCTAAACCCCGAAACCCTAAACCCTAAGCCCTAGACTGTTTTGGGCTTCTTGGGGCTTCGGGGCTTTGGGGGTTGGGGCTGTTTTTTTGGGGCTCTTCGGGGGTCTGGCTCGGCCTTCGACTCCTCTGGGGCGTGTATAAAGCTGAGGGTTTTTAGGGCTTAGGGAGTTTAGGGTTTTAGGTATTTAGGGTTTAGGGAGTTGAGGTAAAGTTTAGGGGTGTTTAGGGTTTTAAACCGGCTCCTTTGGGGCTTTAAAGGTTTTGGGGTTTGGGCGAGCTCCCATCAAGCCTGTGCAAAAGCGGAGTTTAAGCTTTTTGCGGGTAGGGTCCGGCCAAGACGGGCTTCCGCAGCGCTCACACACACCGGGGCACACAGATGAGTTTAGGTTTTAGGGTTTAGGGGTTTAGGGTCTAGGGATTAGGTCACGCACGCACGACCTTACCTTTACTGGATACCTTTACCCTGAGCAGAGAATTCCAGCCACATACACCATTGCATGTAAGTTTTCATGGTAACACCACGTTTCTCGTAATTGGTATGCATTTGCAGGTTGCCATGTGAATTCATGGTTGCGGCCGCGTCTTGAAAATTCAATTTGCAGAAAACTCAAGACATTCTCTTCAGCAGTGGTAGCATCAGCAAGCACA